CATTAAACCAATGAACCGAGTAACTTTTTGGCTCTAGCTCAGAACGGAACAATTACAGATTGTTCTGTTGCTCAAAAACGTTTCCTCTTCACTTCTGGTGTCGATCTTAGTAAACTGGAGCGACACCATTGTTTTATTTAGTCCCCAGAAATTGGGATGTAATATGTTCCCATACATCCATTGTAGGTGGATCTTTTGTGGAAGGTGAATGGTTGACAAACGCATTTCGCTGGAAAGAAACTGTGGGACCCTGGGAAGAGAGGCCAGGCCATTTTAATGATGCATGGAAGTACTGGACTGATGATGGACTTGGCTATTTCGAGTTCCTCCAGGTTGGTATCTCATGCTTCCTATAAAACTGTTTAGTTTCTGGACTGTATAAAACCCTCCCTTTCAAGGACTTTAGTTAGAAACCGCTTTTTTCTCATATAATTATTCTCACAAAGTTATCTACAGCTTGCAGAGGATCTTGGTGCTTTGCCAGTCTGGGTTTTCAATGGCGGTAATTTACATACCTTTATAATATGTTGATTCCATTTACCCTTAAAAAAATTGAAGAAACCTAACTTTTTCCATTTTCTATGACCTTGTTTATTTTTCAGGATTCAGCCATAATGATCAAGTTGAAACTATCAGTGTGCCGCCTTTTGTAAAAGTATGCCCTTATCCTGATTATCGTGTTTAGTTGTTAATTTCAATTCTAATACTGCACTTGCTAACATGAAGCAAGTGGGTGGTAGAGGTGAGAACTTTTAAAGAGCAATAGATTGTTAGCAATTTAAGAAGTAGCTTATAACTTAGTTCTGGTTTATACTGCCCTCGAAGCTTTTGAGTTGATTTGTCCCTAACTTTAAATATTTCGCCACCTTTGTCATAGGAAATCCTTGATGGTATTGAGTTTGCTAGAGGTGATCCAGATTCTACATGGGGTTCAGTTCGAGCTGCAATGGGACACCCCGAACCTTTTGACTTGAGATATGTTGCTGTTGGGAACCAAGATTGCTGGAAAAAGAACTACAGAGGTTGCTTTCTATTGCAATCCTCTTTCTCCTAATATTCCCTCTATTCTCTTTTCATCTTTTTGTTACATCTAACAAGTGATTGCAAGGTAGACCTCGGTTTGAAGTAGAGATGTCTGGTACATATTCTCTGTTAATGAATAGAAGGTCATGCCTATCTCAGCATATTTCTTTATCTTAGGTGTAGGTAGTAGGTAGCTCTCTGCATTGAAGGAGCGGATCAAATAATTATGCAGTGTTCTTTCAATTATAGTAATTGATTTAAACTTGATCCCAGTCGCACCTGCTATTTAATTTCATGGACAGATCATCTTAATAGAAATAAGTACATCACAGGATCGTCATCATCTCGGGACCTTGTGGACAGATTTTATATTTGAAGTAGCAAGGATGAATAAACATGCCATCAAAAGTAATATGTAGTTATGCTGATGTCGAGGCACTAAATCCAACTTTGACCTGCCTTTTCGCCTTTCGCTGAGGTTTTTCATGCTCTAGTTGCTTTACATTACTGACATCTGGACTAGAGTTTCTTTTGCTCCCCCTTGTGATATACCCTGATCAAATTTTGCCTCACATAGAAGCAGGCGATATAATTTCCTTTGATCTGAACAATTCAAATACCGTGATATTGCACCTCCTTCATATTATCTGGAATCTACGCCACTAGAATATTTGTTACCATTTAGTCTGTGCTATTAATTACGGGGATGGGTTGTGTTTTGCTCGAGGATCAGTGTAGTAGCTAGGTCATACCTATTTCTTAATATTGCAGCTAACCAGATTTTCCTCTTTCATATTCATCAATGACCAGGGAATTATCTCAAATTCCATGACGCTATAAAGCATGCTTATCCAGACGTGCAAATCGTCTCAAATTGTGATGGCTCTTCTGGGCAGTTGGATCACCCTGCCGATCTCTATGATTTTCATGTAATGTCTGTTCTTATCTTTCCTGTGAAGAACTCTTCTGTAAATACGAACCCCATTAAACAATGACATTATTGCTTCTTGATAAGGTCTACACTTCTGCAAGCAACATGTTCTCAATGTCTCAAAAGTTCAATCAAGTGTCTCGAAATGGTCCGAAGGTGCGTTTTACGTGCCTTAATGTATTTGAGAGGTCAAGTGTGCACACGAATAACCTTCAATTTTGGTGCTTTCAGGCTTTTGTCAGCGAGTATTGTGTTACAGGAAAAGATGCAGGCAAAGGAAGTCTCCTGGCAGCCCTAGCTGAAGTTGCATTCCTTCTTGGGCTAGAAAAGAACAGGTCTCTCTAATAATACATCTATAAATAAAGACCCTGTGATATAATCTGTATCATAGTCTAATTTAAGAGAAAACATGAAACACGATGGCATGTATCTTTTTGTTGAATCAGGATATATTGCTGAAGTGTCCACATGTGATGCTCGATAGTGAAGCCATAATTTCATCATCATCTCTCATACCACTAAAATGAGCGCTTTCATTGGTACCATGCATACAAATATGTACTTGTTTGTGTTTGAATGAAAAACCAATGCCAACATAAATAATATTGCAGATACGATATATCCATATGTTAACACTTGCCCACACGTGATCACACATTTTTACCATAAGCTTCAGTTGACATCTTCTCATATACAGTATACCTGGGTAAATATTAATCGCTACCAAAATTATTCAACAGATTTCACTCTCATGTCTGAGATTAGTTCGTATGCTCCAACAATATTTCAGAACTAAACTCCCACTTAATCTAAATATGAAAAAGAAAAATAAAGTGCTTTCGCAATTTTTCCATACTGCTAGACAAACTACACTCTCAGCTGCATTAAGTGCCTTAACAAAGTACTAACCCTTGAATGGCACTTCAGGTTAATTTTCCTCTTCATGCAAAAAGAGTAAATACTACTTAAATCTCAAAATTTTCCAATTTTTCGCAGTGATGTTGTTGCGATGGCAAGTTATGCGCCACTACTCATGAATGCAAATGCCAGAAGGTAATTTCTCTCATTCTTTTACTTAAGATATCTATCGGTTTATCGAGAGATTTGAAAAGCACAAAAGAAAGCAAGATTCTTCCTTTCTGACACCAACCTGCTTCATTGAAGTTTCACTCCGGACACGATCGTGTTCAACTCTTCGCAGCTGTATGGAACTCCCAGCTACTGGATGCAAAGTCTTTTCACAGAGTCAAGTGGAGCAACCCTTCTTGACACAACATTGAAGTCAACCTCGACACTACTTGTTACATCTGCTATCTTATGGAAAGATTCCACAAATGAGAAGAATTACATAAGAATAAAGGTTTGAAGTCTGTCCTTGACAAACTCAGAATTCTCGCTTACTCATGAACACATCCTTGTGTTGTCTCTCTCATTTGCCCATCGACCAATACCTTTACAACCAGACTCTGGTGGGATGAAAAGTAAATTCTGAACAAGGAAAGGAAAAGTATGAAGACAATAATCAAAGCTCTATTGCTGTTTGGTGCACAGCCAATCACAATCTTTGGCACAGTAATTTTTAGCGTCATTGTCATGACAAGACCGAAGTTATACATTGAGAAGTATCTGGTTGAGCATCATTTGGTAAAATAATTAAACAGCGACTCCATATGCTCCATCATCACAAAAAATCATGCATGTTATATTGGTTTCTGATTTCGCAGATTCTAATTCTTTGTTTGATTAGATTTGTCAACATCCTGCTCCTCTCGAGATTGATTATGCATATAATATATTCTTGTTTGGCAATATAGTGGCGGTTGAGTTCAGAATCTTGATTTTGTAGGCTGTGAACTTCGGAAACAGCTTGATTAATCTCAATATATCTGTTGGAGGATTTGATACAAAGTCCATACAATTGTCCAGCTCTTCAAAAACTGTCCTAACTTCTGGAAATTTGATGGACGAGAATTCCTTTGAACAGCCGAAAAAGGTATCTTCTTCTCTTTTTCCTTGCATACGTAAATTGAGTTATCACGTCCTAGTCTCCGACACTTCTGTTGAGGTCATGCTGTCTGGTGTCTCCATCGACCTGGAGAGGTCATTTAACACTAACAATTCTAGCTGGTTCATTTGTTGAATACAAGCCATTATTTTTCTTTGAATTATCTTCTTCAATCAAACTCTTACCAAAGGCACCTCACGTATAGGAATATTTCCGGAAGTATATGATTCAATGCTTGCTGTAACTCACTTAAAAATCATACAAGCAGAGTCGTTTCGAGGACCAGGAAAATGATGAGTTTATGCGGAGGTGAGTTGCATCGCAGCAGCATATTTGATGCATCTCTTCCTGATTGAATGCAGGTGTCTCCAAAACAAAGTCCGCTTAAAAGTGCAGGAAAGGACATGCAAGTCATACTCTCCCCGTATTCTTTCACTTCATTTGATTTGTTAGAAGAATATACCAGCTCCCAAGATGACGAAAGGCTGATTCATCTTCAAGATCCAAGTACTAAAAAAGGTCTGAAGGTAAAGATGAACGATAATATCAGTGACTCCTAATGGTTAGACCTTTTGCCTGCCAACCCTTCAGCTGGCAGTAGCATGCTGTAAACTCATCGATGTTGCATCTTCTTAATCCCAGCTCGAGTGTTAATTCATAGAATTTCTTTTAGATCCACTTTGTGATATATGATCAGTTTCTCGCAAAATTAAAAGAACGACGACAAAGATTTACTTTCCACTTGCTTGCAGCATTGTGACAGATAGTTTTACTTTGTCTTCTGATGCCCATGACAGGAAGTATGATGAGATGAATTTGCACATGCTCCCACAATTAAGGGTGACAAACCGTCCCATGCAGTATAGCCAGAGATTGCAATTTTCTAGGAACTAGAAGCAAAAAACTCCAAATTTCACTTGATTCTACAAGCCATTTCATACAATTAAGGGTAACAATAGTATTGGACAATGGAGCGAATCCCGGTGAACAGATAGACAGCTCTCAAATGAACGAGCAAGAATAGAATGGACAGATTCTACCTATACTAATCAGGTTTCAATTGTAATTACTCTATGAACAAGACATAAATGTCAATAAAAACCTAGCTCCTGAACTTCTAAGGAGCAGAAGGCGCAGAAACAAAAATGGAGTAAAAAAATCAGTCAACTACTTCATCTTCGAGGGCGGCCACCGACCTTTCTTCCTCATTCTTCTCTTGCGGACAAGTTTTTTCCTCCGGAGCCGTATCCTCTTCGGCACTTTCATCCTCATTTTCTGTTCAAGCTTCAGCTGAAGCTTTGCGTCCAACCAACATGTGTCGAACGGAAAAGCACCAACATCAGTGTCCGAGTAATACTCTCCATCATTCTCAGCAGTCTCTTCAACGTCCGTTGGCTTGACTAGCATCGCAACCCTTCTCTTGCCAGGCGAGATCACACTAGCACTAAGTGCTCGGATGTACTTCAGATGACAATGAGCGGGTTCCCTGGTCAACAATGATACTGAATACAAGAGCAAATTTAGATACAGTGAGCAATTACAAAGAAAGAAAAGATAGAATAATGTAATCGACATAAAAGAAGAGACATCGGCAGTCGTGAATAAATGACTCCTGGAGCTGAAATAATCGAGATACTTCCATCCAATTGCACAAAATATGTAAACAAAGTATAGGATAAGTAACCAGTATGGTGCCGTTGCATTCTCTATATCCGAGGCCAACTGTCAGCCTTCTTTAAACAACTTATTATCATGGAGGAAACATCACAAATCTACCATGGACAGTTCCAAGATACGTGGATCGACAGAATCCCGGAGACCGGGTGCATATAAACTGAAAGTGAGTCCGCAAATTGCTCCACCACGTGAAATGTGGCCGCTAGTCGAACCCTGATAACAGCTCGCATCGATGAGATATATAAAATGCGGATACTAAGACTCGGGATTCGAAAGGCAAGCTACTGCTAGCGCTGTGCGCGGAGTGAAGCCAACTACACTATGAACCTTTGGATTGAATTGATTCTGCCACTCTAAAGACCCAACAAACTTTGGTTAACCCCCGCACCCGTGTTTCAATCACTCTAAACCAGCAATACCCCTGACGAATTCAACCCGAGATGATTCTTCAAACCAAGACATTCTTCGAGAGAGCACGATCATCGTTAGAAAGATCTTGAGCCGTGCCCACAACTTCCACTCCCTCCTAACTTCCCAAATGAACTGAAACAAGCAACGAGCGAACCAAACCCCCCACACCCACATAGACATATCAAAAGACTGTCCACATAAAGTCCTTCTCGACCCATGATCATGCACATTCGTATGCACAAGCCCTCTCACGGCATACCCCACAAAGATTCGCCAGCGCACAAACAAACACAAACAATCAAGGCAAACCCACTTCGCCAATACACATAAGAAAGGAGATACGCGACGATCAAATCACGGACGTCGGGAACAGACAAGAAGCAAGAGCGATACGCGAACGTGGACGGAGGGGAGACCTCGCGATCGTACAAAAAAGAAAAGGGAGAGACGTACGCGACGATGACGACGAAGCAGTAATAGCGGCGGGAAGAGAGGAGGTGCGAGAGGAAGGGGACGACGAAGTGGAAGAAGGAAGGAGAGCGAGAGAGGTAGGTCTGAGAGAAGTCGGAAAGACGAGCGGCGACATGGTCTTCCGGTGGGAGCATGACGGAGGTCCGACCGACAAGGCAAGAAGGTTGACTGACAACATAGCCCAAAGCTTCTTGGCATTGCCTTCGGCTTATGAGTAAAAATGAAATATTTTCTATATTATTAGAATTTTATCCCCAAAGATATCATTTTTTTCTAATTAAAAATTTAGAGGCCATACCTATACCATTCCACCCGCAAAAGCCCAAAGTTAATGAATCCGTCGTCACAGCCCACTACAATCCTTCCAACTAGAATAGTAGAATGTCTCACCACCCAAGCTATTTCGCAACTAGGCAACACAACACGAGTTATTTCAGAAATTTGCTCACGACGTTAATCAAACTCGTGAAAGACGGATTACCCATATACCATTATACCATCCACCTTATACCATCCACCTTATTAAACTATTGAAGAGTTAAATGTGTCAAATTGTTCTCAACAAAAACGCAAATCCACCCTGACAGTATATTCTGTAAAAAGCCGACAGACAAAATTAGTATTCTCTTAGTCCATTCACAAAAATTCTTTTCCCTCTACATCGTTTCCTTTTGACAAACATAGAAACCAAAGATAAAGGCGGAGAATAACCCCGTTCAGTCGTTCACTAAGAGATGAGGATCACAACACTCTCCAGGTGCATTATCATTTCTGAAGACTGAGATAAACAGATGAAATTTTCACGACACTGCCTGCCCTCTGGTTTAAAGACGATTTCCACGGCAAGCTTTATTTCAACTTTTTGCGGCATCCTACATAACAATTTGTTCGATCTGTCGGATCAGTGTGTCAATGGCCAAAGTCTCGAGCTTAAAGGAGAGAGCTCAAGGGCCAGGAGAGGGGAGAAGTGCTGAGCAACAAGTTCACCAGAATCAAAAACTGAAGGATGGCTTCGCCAGCTACAACGCTTTCTGATCCAACCCAATAGAGAACCCAGATAAACAACAGTCAGTTGCAGGCTCGACCTGAGATTCTTGCTATCAGAAAAACCTCCTAAACCAACAGTTTAATCTTTAAGTTGACAATATAGACTCGATGTACGGTATCTCTAGGCACTAATGATATTAAGCTGACATCAAACTGCAAAATGACATGTGAACCACCACAAAGAAGTACCTTACTTAAGGAAGAGCATGAGAACGAAACAGGAGAGGGTAGGTACAGCAAAATCCACTGCTCCAACACTGCATGAAATTGCAGACAAACAGTTGAATTAAATAGAGCTGCTTGAGTCAAGGAAAACAGTGCATCGACATATGTAATGTCATTAGATTGCAAAGCATAATTCGGACAATTGCCCATAATGAAGCAAAAGCAAATACTTTGTGTTCCCTATACTTGAGTTTGCATATTCCCGTATTTAAGGCAAGATTTCCAAATCGGCTCAAGCACAATAGAGACATCATAATCATGAAGACTTACCACAGAAAGCAAAGGTCCCTGCTTGAATTTATCATGAAATGAAAATGTCATTGGCTTAGGATTATCACCAGGCCCTCTGATAAAGCCGCTGTATCTCAAGACAACATGAACAAATCTGTCAGTACAACAGTTTAAAATATACAGAGTAAAAAGCTCACCATCTGAAAAGTAGATGGACAACATCACAGGTATTGCTTATCCGAAACTCACACTAGTGAGGCAGAAACCACCGGTGTTCTTCTGGCATCATAAATGGCAATCAGACCCCTGTATATTTCATCCCCACCTTTAAATGATACCGCCAGTCGTTCGCCAGAAGCATTCCATGCTACCTTCTCAATCCCCTGACTACATGATATCACAAAAGTGGAGTCAGCTCATGCCATTTGGTACAATAAGTCCTGCCCAATTGTTTTGTTTTTTAAATGTGATGAATGCATAATGTTACATGTAACAATTTCTTTTGCTTCAATGATATGCATTTATACAGATCTGATTGATACGGAGGAATTATCACATTGCAAGACGAAGAGGGGGCAAAAGGAACATGTTACACTCCAAGATACATAACTAACCAAAAATTCACATTCGCACTAGCTTGAATTACCTGCCAGGCAGGGATGACATTTCTGGTAATTGAACTGGCAACAAGAGCGCATCTTCATAGCATCACCCAAAAGTAAAATAAGTCACGTTAACAATGGACTGGTACAAAAGAGAATAAGTATTCAAAGTTGCCTAGTAGATAATGAATATACATCAATTGATCGAAAGCACCTCAAATCAGTAGGAATTTCCCAGTTTAAGTTCCTTCCATGAAATTTTACTGTTTTTTCTCTTATTAACGCAATTATAAGAGATATCTACTCCATTGAGTTTCTCTAAGGATTTCCCGCAATGGAATTAAGTATGCCCCAGCTCCATCAAATCGCAAATAATCCACTCTGGTGTAAACTAACGCTGAGAGCCAAAACATCATATTTGTCTATGTTTCTTCTTTTCCCCCTCGTAAGTTATGCACAAGAAATGTGCTTGAGTTAACCGTACAAGTAACAATTGAGGAACATAAAATTTTCCATCATTTTATCGAGTCATAATACCACCTGCGTTGCCTTGGTACTTAATTAGTGGAGTCTAGAAGTACACATCTTAAGCAAAACTGGTTACCCAAAGATGGAGGCTTTGATGCAAAGTGAACAGAAGCCAACGTTGGAGATTTGGAGAAAGCAATCAGTATCATATGCCCATCAGAATCCCATGTTGCCCCCTGTTGCAACACGACTCCAAATTAAAAAAGTTCAAGGAATTGTAACATACAATTGAAAGATGCATAAAGAAGAGCAAAAAATTGAACCACTGGATAGATTAAGTGCACCAGCTGCTTAACATACAATGCAGCTTCACTACTTGCATACAAAATTAAAAAAAAAAAAAAAAAAAACATGTCAACAAAGATAGCCAAAGGTCTCTAAAAGGAACACATGTAGTGCAGGAATGATTGCATAGACATCAAACATATGACAAATTATTTTATTTTGTATAATGAGGAGTACTGGGAAATCAATTAGGCCTCTCCTCAATACAAAGTCACTGAAGAATTAAGCCCAACATTTAGCAGAGGGCATGCGCCTGCTACTCAATCAAGAATTGATTACACATAGTGCCTCACCGATTAAACCTACAGAATTTTCATATGGTGATGGCACCACAAGAGCAAAACACCAACAAAACTCTTAAGTAGAGAAACGCAATGCCGTCAAGCCTAGAGCACTCACCAAGTTAAATTTTGTTCCAGATTTATATGCTCAAAATCAACTAAGACACTAATATTGAATGCTAATCGAAGTCAAAAGTGGAGTGAGACGATTCAACCCTCATTTTTTTGGCGATAGAGATAAATATCACTAATTAACATACCAACATAACCATTGTCAGCTTTACAGTGCAGACACTTTTTCAATGTCTAGGAAAGTTACAGTTTTGACGCACAGATCTCATCATGAACTCCAAACACAACCCCAGCTGTTTTGACCAGAATTCTCATCAGGACATCAGGAATCTTCACCAAGTAACTAATAAATAGAGAAGAAACTGGTACAAACTTTTACAATATGCAAGCAATTCTGAAATAACAGTGACAGATTTAAATTTTCACTGCAAGAGTCATGTAATTTTCTACCTCTCTATGGTGCAAAAGCTGAAAAACTAGTCATATTCTCATATATCTTAGGCAGAATCTAATTGAAGGCAGAAAGAGTGCACCAATCCAAGAAATTAAAAGGAAAATCGTTCAAATTTTTTTTGTTAAGAGGCACAGCATTTGAGCAATGCACCACATCATTATTCAGCCTCTGATCCTATTTGCGGCAATCATGACAAGCCATCTAAATCACTTCCTCACCGTGACAAAACCACTAGTTGATGACCAAGGTTCAGAGGTCCACGTGTTTGTCTCCCATAGATAAAATGTTCCATCACTGTAAAGGACGACAGCGATCCAGATCAGACAGACAATGTTATCCATATTTGTCCACATGAAAACAAAGTAACTCAGCTGAATGACCATACAATTTTGCAGAAAAGAAGTAATCTCCAGTAGGAGACCACTTTAGCATGGATATGCCCCCTAATCCACGTCGAATAGGTGTCCCAACACCTGCAAATAAACAACACTTATAACTAACAAAACAATGCCTCAGAGAGAGAAACTTACTACTGTATCAACAGCACGATCCAAATATGAATGGCAGGAAGGGGGATAAAATGAAATCCAGAAACACTAAGTTCCAGTACTAAAATCATATCGATCAAGCTCCAAAATTTGGGTGTGCAAGCACACGCATGTGTGTTTTTATATAACTATTGATTAGAAAACAGGCAAAAGTTATTGTCAATGATATTTGGTCATTAACTTCCAAAATTTCACGTTCAAGAACCATACTTGGACTAAATAGCAATTGTTTGAAAATTTATTGTTTTAAGTGCTTTTGACCGACAAATTCACTCAACGCAACCATTGCTCTTCACTCAAAAACTTCAGAACCACCTCCACAGTCAACATTTTCAAAATTTAAAAAATCTGTTCCTATTTTTTTTTCATGCACATAAGATCGATAAAAATTTTCATCAGAATATTTTCTTTTTTAGCACATGGGAATTCCAGAAAAGATCCTAGATTCCAGTACCAAAGTTACATGGATCAAGCTCCAAAAGTGTGTGTCTTTCAATTTTCATGTACATATAGTCAATTTTAAAAACTCATTTTATTAACACTACAAATTTAATCAGAAGTGCGTTCGAAATAGAATTGCAACACAACTAGTTTCGAGTTTATCTTTCAAACAGCACCTTAAAGCTTGGACTCCATGAGTTATACCACTCCCAGTCTTATCGTATTAACTCTATGAACTATAGTTATATTTGCTGCCCGGGCAGGAAGCAAATTCCAATATGAGCAACCAGGAGTTAATTTCTGGCAGGTGCTTGTTTTTACGCATATGACAATTATAAGTGTGACTAAACCTTCATTTAATCAGAATAATTATAATTTAATTATTGAAGGCTAGGACTCACAAAATTAGTCCAGCAGATGCATGATGACCATGAGCTAAACCCATCATAGATGTGTGACAAGTAGATTCCTTTACCAACAAATAGTGCTATGGGAAAGAACTAAATTTTGGCAAAAGACTAGACTACTAGTTTTGCATGATCACTGGAAAAAGTAGAGTAGGAACTAGGAGCCCTAGAAACAAAATATAAGAGGTCCATTACAATATTAAATGAAAACAAACTATTAGATATACAATTTAAAGATATAATTGCAAAAATGAACATACACTCAATATAATTGCGAAAAAAAGTAGTTGATGAAATAAAGGAGACAAAAGATTTATCAGAATATTGAATGACCTTGTGCCACGTCCCATACAGTGAACGACGAGCTTTCACAGGAGGCTGATGCCAAGTACGTAGAGGTAGGTCAAGGAAACAGGCTATCAAGCTACACATGCACCACGATAATAGAAAAACTGGTTCTGGGTCCTCTTCCAGTCAAAAGAGTTCAAACATATGCCTTGGTTTAACTAAGTGCAAAAACCCTAGTAATTAATATTGAAGATCATAATATGTCCATCATGCATTCTGAAAACTGCAATTGGAAATTGATTATTAAAAAGGGGAACGTATGAAACATCTGGCGACTACTAAAACCATTGTTAGATGGTACAAAATGTATGTAAACGGGGCTTTTTCGTGTGAAGGATATCTTCCATCAGGGCTCCATGAGAGTGCAGTTATTTGCTCATCAGCATCACTGCGAAGAAAATCAACCAAAGTCCATCGGACACCAGTGCCTCTCGGTAGGGTCCCAACAAAACAAGGAGCACCAGATCTGATAGATGCTGCATTGCCAGGGAAAGAAGCAGCCCAAATGCATATTCCACCCCTAAAAAATAAATTGATTGAGCTTTCCATTGTTTTCGTGATGCTGATAAGATGAAAAAAACACTGAAAAGAATAATATGGTAGAAGAATATTTATGACCAACTAAACTTTAAATGAGAAAAAGACGAATCGTGGTACTTGCTTGCAAGACACAGAAAGCACCCTTCCACCATTTGGTCTCCACTCAAGAGCTTTAACGTCCTTTTGGGACTCATGAGTCAGGATACAAGGTTCCCTGCACTCTTTTGAAGATAACATTGCAAGCATTTTCAAAGGACGGAAATGAGATATGCGAGTATAAACAAGATAAGAATCAGCACTGGAGACAGACTATGAAAGATACGGACCTGCATCATCATAATCTCGCACTAGAACCTGATTCGGAGCAGAGATAAGCGCTATAATATGCTTATGCTGGTGCCAGCTTACTCCTTTTAGATCGACTTCAGGTAGCAAATTAACCTATAAGCATAATAAAGTTGTCGGTAGGCAGAAAACCAGAAATTGATCACATCTGCCGTGTAAAGTGCGTGTAAGTTTCTTTTACATTACGTCTCTCCATTGAGGTTTGAATTCAAGTTATCTGGTATTAAGGAAGCAATGACTTGGATAAGCTAAAAAGACCTCCCCTAATGACTAGAACTACATTTTCTATGATCTCATAAGTCATCTGGACAGCAAACTCATACCAGAGCTCTAGAATCTGATCCTCCCATTTGCACAACAGACCCAGAAAAGATAATTTGAAATGGGTAAAAGACTAATGGCGGCCAACTCAGCTGCAAGACTATTCGATTTTCAAAATGGGTTTGCTATATTATATCTCCAGATATTTTTTATGTATTTACACACAAAAGGGCACAAAGAAAACTCACATCGCAAGGATTAAAGAGCCGCTTGATACAACCGCTCGCGATCCCCTGCACCATCTCCACGGCGTTCTTCCTCTGAACAGCCACTCCATTCCCCGCACCCTCCTCCTCCACCTGCGGCTGCTCGGCGTCGAGCTCCGGCCCCGACCGGCCCGGCTGATCAGGCTGGAAGGAGACCGGATTGAACACCATTCTCTGCGATTCGGAGAACAATCAGGATACCAATGCCAGCAAACGAAAGCTACCCTATAAAGCAACATTCGCCAACAGATGGACCCATGCCGTCGCAGCGACTCGAATGAGAAAGACTCACGAGCAGCTTCCCGTAGGTTTCTTTAGCTTGAGTTTCCGACAGGCTATCGGCGGTAACTGCAGGATTTCAGGCGTTAATCGACACAAAAACCCCGAGTCCCGCGAATGAGTCGACGACACTCGTGCGAAAGCGAAGGAGAGGGAAGAGGGTTACACGTACGGAGCTCGCGATTGATTTCGCAGACCGTGACTGAGCCCGGGCTGGGAAACGAAGGCATGGCTGCGTTCTAGGGTTTTTGCTCGTCGCGCTCGGAGACTGGTCGAAGCTCGCTGAAGATGATGATGACGATGATGGCGACGGAGCTCCAGTTTTTGGGGGGAAAATGCGCTCGCTTCTCCTCCTTTTCCTCGCTCTATGAAGTATGGACGAACGACCGTACAGATTTTATTGCCTTCAAAATTTTTGGGATGAAACACGAAAAGCAATGGGCCGATGAGAAATCTTACGCCGTGGAATGTTCTATATTTGACACGAACATTAACTTTTTAATTTTTTTCCTTTGTTGCTTTTTTCTTTTTTTCCTTTTTTTTTTCTTTTCTTCCTCTCGGCCATGGCCGAGGCCGACGGAGTTCGTCGGCCTCGGGCGAGGCCGCCCTCGCCGCGTCGAGGCGAGGCCGCCCTCGCCGGTTGCGGCGAGGCTCGGCCCGCGCCGGCCGGGTGAGGCTCGACCTCACCGGTGTCGAGCGGCCGGCCTTGCTTTGCGGGCGAGGCCGGCCTCGCCCGTCGCCACGAGGTCGAGCCTTCGGCCGCCACGGCGGATAACCCTCGCCCGGCGAGGCTCGACCTCGCCGTTCTTGGGCCGGTCGAGCCGCGGCTCCGGCGAGGTCGAGCCTCGCTTATTTATTTCGAGAGAAATGTTACAACTTCAGAAAAAAAAAATGTTAAAAGATGATAATATTTTCGGTGTTTGGAAAAGAAAACATGATTTAATTTTTTTTAAATACGCACATTATTTGGGCTTTAGCGACTTGTGCAGGAGCAGCCAAGGAACTAAGCAAGGGCACCAGAATCCCTGATCCAGTCTTGATGGATCCCAACTCGGGCAAGGTTACTTGGGTCCCAGCAAGAGTGTCATCCATAGAAGCTGAAACGCGCCCGGGCAGTGTTGTACGTGTCCCCCGGTTCTCCCTGTCGGCGTGCGGGAGTTCCCAGGTTACCAAAAAAAAAAAAAACAACCATACAGATTTTATTGCCTTCAAAATTTTTGGGATGAAACACGAAAAATTGTAAACTTTTTCGATGACACGTTAAAGCTCTGTTTATTTATTTCGAGAGAAATGTTACAATTTCAGAAAAAAAAAATGTTAAAAGATGATAATATTTTCGGTGTTTGGAAAAGAAAATATGATTTAATTTTTTTAAATTCACACATTATTTGGGCTTTAGCGACTTATGCACGACTAGTCAAGGAACTAAGTAAGGGCACTAGAATCCATGATCCAGTCTCGATGGATCCCGACTCGGGCAAGGTTACTTGGGTCCCAAGCAGGAATGTCATCCACAGAAGCCAAAACCCAATGCTCGAACACGACTTCTTGGCACTTGGGCCCGGTTCCACAGAAGACGAGCTCGAGGCCCCAGTGTCCATGCTCAAATCTCCGGCACTCGAGCTCGGGTCCATGAAGGCCAGGCACAGGACCCTGATTACGCGGGTCCTCAACACTTGAGCTTGGTCCATCGAGGTTGGCTTAGAGACATTGGTACCCATGCTCAGGTCCCTAGAAACCAGGCTCGAGTCCTTAACGACTGAACTCGAGCCTATTAAGATTGGACCCGGGGTCCTAGCATAAATGGACACGGTCCTAGGCCCCAAGCACTCGGGCATTTTGTACTGGGATCCCAAACTCGGCCTCGATGAACTCGAGCATGAGCAATGAGGTCTCAGGCTTCAACCTCAATGGATCCGAGCTTGGACGTGGGAGATCGAGGCACTAGCACTAGAGCCTCAAGCACGAGGACTGGGCACGGGTATTGGGGTCTCGAGCTTGGCCACAATGGACCCGAGCCAAGGTGCTGGAGACCTAGGGATGGGCACTACCCATGCCCCGCCTCAATGGACCTGGGCACCGACACCGAGATCCCATGCCTCATCCTCAATGACTAGGGCTTAAGTGCTGGAGATCCGAGCATGGGTGCTAGGCTTTGGGCCAGGCCTCGATGGACTCGGGCTCGGCCTCTATGGACTCGGACCTGGACACCAATTTCTCGAGTCTATCAAGGCCTGGCCATTGTGGACCTAGGCCTGAGTACTAGGTTCCTAGTCCTAAGAAAACTTACTTAGATAAGAGTGAATCAATTCAAAACCGGTTCGATTTTAGATTCTTTGATAGAACCGCCGGTTCAAGGTATAAAACCGGAAAGCGGACCGATCACCTTGTGAAACGGCCCGGTCGCTCTCTCCGGGGCCACTCTCATTTTTTTACGTTCCATGGAGAAGAGAAGCATCAATTGGTGGCAAGCTCAATCGATTTCTGTCCCGTCCAGTAGCTACAACTTTCCCTCCTGCATGAATTGGATTCTCCTTTTCATTTCTTGTCAGAAAAAAACCACAGTATCAAACCATGGCTAGATTCAGAATATTAAAAGGAATAAAATAAATTTTCCATTGGAATGTTGGAGCCGGCAGGCAGGAGCTGCATTGCCTCTGTCTCTCGCGCCAAGCTGCAGCAACCTCAGCTGTCCAAAACCCTCACAAAACCCAACCCCCCACCCCCACGAGCTTTCCTCTCGAGTTTCTTCCCAAGAATCGATCTTTAATCGCAAAAGATATGGTCCAGTTCACCGGTAGCATCGCCCGGCAATCCCCAGCCGTGTTCCGGTTGGTGAGCCTCTCCCGCGCGCACCCTTTACATTTCGCCCCGGTTCATGCCAAGGCGGTCCGGAAAGGCGTGTTCTGGAGCTCTTCCTCGTGTCAAAATCCTGCCTTTCCTCTGAATTATGGCCGCTCCGGGGTTCTTAGGGACTCGGGTAAGGTTGAAATTGGGTTCAGGCAACTGGGTTTCAACCGGGCCCGGTTTTCGGCGGTTTCGGACGCGGGGTCTGGTGGAAGTGGTGATAATGGACGATCTGGCGATGGGAATTATGGAGGAAGAGGTGAAGGTGGCAGTGGCGGAGGCGGTGGGAGCAGTGGAAATAACTGGTCCTTGCTTTCTTGGTAAAAATGCGTTTCCTTTGCTGAAAATTTTTTGCCTATTGTGCCTCTCTCGTTAATTGTTTGTTGGCTTCAGAAATCAGAATTTCATAACTTGTCGTGGTCCTTAGTGGCTTTTATGCATAATCGTGATTGCTGACGGGGTTTTGATGATTGGCCTAATTATGTATTGGTTTAAGGATGCTGTGGCAGGGCATAGTGAATGTTTTCATGGTTTTAAGTTCTAGGACTGCAAGGAGGCAACTTTTCTCTGTGTATGTGGGTAAATCAAGGAGTGCACAAGCAAAAGTTGCTTCCGTCACGTTGTCTTTGATGAGTTAAGGCACTGAGAAGAGACATGACTCCTAATTTCATAGAGGCAAATTCAGGAAAAGGGGTGGGAAAAACAAAATCACATTTATCCGATGATTTGCAACGCTGATGAAAATGCGTTGATATAATAGTCAATTCAGGACAAAGGGAGAGATCGTCAACTTAGCATCTTCTTAATATATGATTTTGCTGTTATACTTGTTGCAAATGTCCATCTTGTACAATTCATTTCATTTTGTGTAGACAGACTGCAGTAAGGTTGTTCAATGCAGTATATGAATTCATTTGCTCAGGCACCTGTCTGACTGTCTGTGCTGTTTAAGTGAGCCATTCCAAAACCATTTCTTCTGATTTAATTTTCGTACTGCAGGTATCTGACCCTACTTGCAAAATATCCTGTGGCAACAAAAGCAGTGACTTCTGCATTGCTAACATTCCTTGGAGATTTGATCTGCCAGGTAGACTTTGTTTAGCTGCAACCATTAGTAAAATTTTATTTCCTCCCCTTCTAGGTCCTGTACTGATGTTGTTATACTAGACTTTGCCATAATTTTGACATGTTTTGAAGGTCCATGGCTGTATGATTAGCTCTGATCCTATATGTTTCATTTCATATAAACAATTTATTTGCGTATAAATCTATCAAGATATGAATGACAATAGGAAGATACCTGAAAACTATTGATTGCATACGAAAACACTTTTACTTACCACTTGATGCATCAGTTGAGATGAACTCTCCAGGGTGATTAGACAGGTTCTGGAACTGTTTTTAGTTTAAGCTAGTATAACTTTTAATGAAGGCCTTCCATTGTGGTCAGTGTTACTAAGCCCTCAGATTTGTGTTTAGTAGGTCGTGATCTGGATATCAGTCCTCTTTGTTTGTTGCCAGAAAAAATGAGCACTTCGACTACAATATGAGATTTTACACTCGGTCATACTAAATCTCAATCTTTTTTGACACAGCTCGTGATTGATCAAGCGCCATCATTGGACCTGAAAAGAAACTTCTTATTTAGTTTTTTGGGGCTGGTGTTAGTGGGTCCTACGCTTCACTTCTGGTAATGCCTCATTGCTTTTGTCCACTAAAGCAGTTAGTCGATGCTTCCTCTGGGTATTGTCTGTTCTATTTTCTGTAAAATCTTATGGTAGAAAGAATGTATCTCAGGTTTCTTGTAGTTGATAATGTGGTGTAATCTGTAGTTGTCTGCTGGGCGAACACTGGAATATCTTGGTCTCAACATGATTAGTTTTTCCATTGGTTATGCTGCATGTACTTAGATGATATATAGGAACAGCTAGTGCAATCACCTGAACCCATCTTGTTTTAACAGCAGAACATACTTAAGATAAACTATCCTGTGCTTCTTTGGAGCTCTATCCCCTGCATTTTATGACACCATTCAGTGCTCCTGCAGGTACTTATACTTGAGCCGCTTAGTAACTGTGCCTGGTGCATCAGGAGCTTTTTTGCGCCTTCTACTTGATCAGGTGATTCGGCGAAGTCTGTTTGATTTCTAAGATAGACGACTAGGTTCTTTATGAGGTCACTGAACATTCAGCTTGATATTTTGCTAATGAATCAAGTCTAAGTGTGATCAAACTTTTGTGCAGTTTATTTTCTCTCCTCTGTTCATTGGTTTTTTCCTAGCTACGTTGGTAACACTGGAAGGGAGGCCATCAGACGTTGTTCCCAAGCTGCAACAGGTAATGCTCAAATGACTTTGAGATGCTCCTCGTTTTGCTTCAGTTTTAAGGAATCAGGTGTGTCAAAGGGAGAGATAAAGGTGGAAAGCGAAAGTCTTCAGAACATCAGTGCGAAAAAAATCTAAAGGTGCAAAGTTTAGTGTGTCAAGGCAACGTTATTGGATCCTGTCCAGGTTATACCTAGCTATTTATATTATGAAGTAAAATATCTTACCAAGTAATTAATATTTCGATATAGTATAACCAAATATTTGGGTTGGAAACATATCTTCGACGTCAATTTTGGTACTAACATATTGACTAACTAATAAAAAAAACCAGTATGTTGATATTATGCAGCCTATTAAATGTATTGTTTGGTGAAACAGTTGTTTTTCCTAAAACCTTTAGTTGTCACTTCTATCGAGTATCTTAACACTCCCCATTTGCATGAAGCCGGACATTACTCTTGTTACACAGGATATGGATGTGGCCACATCATTCAACAACCATAGGACAAAGGGGAGTAGCATCCATAATGAAAACAAGAGGGAGTGTCAAGATTGAACCCTTTACATGATGTCATATGTTGAACAACTGTTTTGGTTAAAAGCCTGAGTCATACCAAATCACGCCCATAATGTGTAGCAAGGATGTATCTTCAAATGCCTTTGACACAGAATTTTCGTTCATTTTAAAGGAGCAGAACAAAAGAGCTTTTGACAGAGAGGAATTTTCCATTTCTGTTTTTTTTTTTACACTTTAGTTAAAATGGAAACTTGCTTATGCATGAAAATGCCTAGGTTGATTTAGTTGATGATTTGTCTTGTAATTGAGCTCCCTTTTGGTTGAGAGCTGTTTCATATATGGCTAGAAGCATTACTACCACTAGCAAAATGTTGCCTATTTGAGCGAGGTGCATCACCCCAACTAGTGTTCAAGTTGGATTTGGAACTCATACGGTATTTAGAAAGGGAACAAAGGTTAGTGCTAGGCTCTTAGCAAACTTGTGTCGATGCAGGTGTTTGATAAAATGTGAATGCCTCTATCCACCAGGCAATTGAATTGCCAAATTGGTTGTGTAACTGAGTTAGAGAGAGTTTCTTCTAGATAAGCTTATAGAAGAGGGACTCTCTTTCTTTTGTTGTTATTCTTCCTGTAGTAGCAGTTAATGCCCTTATCTGTGTTATCAATGCTATATTTATCATGGTTCTTATGATGGTTCTTTTGCTTGTAGGAATGGTTTTCTGCTGTTCTTGCAAATTGGAAGCTCTGGATACCATTCCAGTTTCTCAATTTTCGTTTTGTCCCACAGCAATTTCAGGTTCTACCTGCCCCTGTATCTGAAATTTTTGTTAGATTAATTTATTTAGCATCCGTCCATTTCTTCCATTAAGAACCGAATGATTCTCGATAGTTGTAAGTTTGCCTGTAAAATTTTTTGGGGATAAAGAAACTAATACGTTTTCAGCAGGAAAGATGAAATTTCTGTGCCAAATTATTTGAGTCGGTCAGCATCTGGACTCACAAAGGAATCTGGAATTGGAATGTCGAAACAGAAGCATAGTATTTAATGGGCTCCATTTTATAAGTTTGTTACTATAAATTTGTCTATGGTGGTGTTTATATATAACAAAATCTTTTACGATATTTGGAAGTAAGGACAAGAATTGTTGAAGGACCTGGAGTTATAATTCTATGAGGTCCTGCTCTCCACTTTCGATCTGATAAGCTCCTTTGTCTTTGGTGAGAAAAAGTAATTGCTGTTAATTGGTCTGTCATGCATAAAGCTTAGCACTCGAATTCTCAAGTTGCAGAAAATTTCATGAATACCTGGTAGATGATGTTTTGATGATATTAGCAAAAGGGAATGGGTGAAAACCAGCTGTTATTGAGTTTTTATTGAGTTCTTATCTATTACCATAAGTTTGCTTCTTGAACATATCTCAAATCTTATCTTATGGATATAATTTCAGGTCCTTGCCGCTAATGTTATTGCTTTGGTTTGGAATGTGATTCTATCATTCAAAGCTCATAAAGAGATTCTTCCTAAATAGGTACTTACTTCCTGGCTGCTCATTGCATTTTGTGGGGAGCTCTAAGTTTTGCTATGTATCATCCAAGTTCTACTGTTTTGAGCTTTTAATTAGAAGTTTACACTAGTAGAGGATGTCTGGCTTTTGAATAGCAATGCAGCATCTAAGACTACTTTTCTGCAATCAAGAACATGAGAACAACTTTAACCTTGTGAAGGCTCTCTACATAGCTGATGTTGCCATTTGACAGTGCAATTTCTAATCAGAATAAGGAATTGAGATTATAAATAAAAGATATTCTTTTCTTCTCTCTTTTTGTGGTGATGGCCGTTAGTTTGATGCATAGATTACCTTATATAAACAAATTCGACAGAAAGGATTACTATCAGTTCATCAAATTACGAATCAGACTTCAAGTTCACGATTCACATCCGCTAGTTAAAAAAACTCACGAAAATGTCTATCAAAGCGCATGGAAAACACGCCAGTCTTCGATCATTGTTGTAGGACAGTAATCTGTCTGCGGATATCACCTGAAATTTTTGTTACTTCACTAACATACAAATGCACCTTTGAACGGTTGTTGCTTGTGAAAAACAAGTACTTCTCGAGATTTGGTGCCTTATTGTATGTTCACAACCTGGAATGGAAGAGCAGTTTTGTGGCTGTCAAGATTTTCTTCAATGTGGGTCTCCACAAACATTAGAAGCAGACTAGCGTTTTCATGATCTTGCATCTTTGTGAGCTCCAGACCACCATCAGTGTATATGCAACAGGAATGTTTTGATTGGAAGAGCTTTTACCACCGAAAACTTTTGTGAAGTCTTGAACAGTAAATTCCTATGAAAAAACCATATTCACTGATTTCTCGGATAGTTTTTGTCTTCGAAATTTCAAGCATCTTAAGATCTTGTGTGGGTGGTGGCTGTGATTATATCTTCTACTAGCCAGCTGTGTGATCTTGCGACTTTGTGCGTAGACCTTTTCATGAACAGCCTTCAGAGTTGATGATCTGTTCTAAGGAAGCTGAATAGAATTGAATGCAGTAGTAGTGTCACCATTAGTTGTTAGATTGTCGGATCATGTCATCTTGGCCTGAGGAAAGCTCTCTGATCTCTTCATTAGCCTTTTTCTTTTTGTAAGAGAAACTAGAAACAAGTCCTCGAAAATCGATGAGATTATGTCACAGGCTTGAGGGATAGAGTGAACTGCATATAAAGTGCCAAAGGCACACCAAAATGGGGAGTTTAGACTACCCCACCTAACCAGGCATATGTGCAGCATCACTTTGGCACACCCAAGCGATGTGCGACTATGTCTCTACCCAGAGGCCTACCTGTCCTAAAAAAATCAATGAGATTAACTTACAGGTTTGAGGGACAAAGGCGAACTGCATATAAAGTCATTAGCTTATGTGATGTGTCCATGAATGCGACAACTTGCTGTCATTTATGGAATTGTGACTTTGTACTTGCAGGTCATTGTTCTTGAAGTCAATTTTGTCCGCTGTTGATGTCGCCTCATGAAGTTTGGTGGCTCAGGAGATGGGAGAACGTAATTTTTCTCATGTTTATGTTGGTTTGGATGGGTAGATTGTGATCTCGTGTTCATTGGTATGGAGATGTAATGTGGGAATGAATGGTTCAGTTGCTTTAAGCTTTCTTCCTTGCAAGGTGCATTAGTTTCTATCACGATCTCTCTCTGTCTGTCTCTCTCCCTCTCTCTCTCTCTCTGCCAATGTTCTTTTAAGGTTTCTTGAATTTGCCTTTCTTGCTAGACATGCTCGGAGGTTGAAGAAAATAGCAACAAATCATCCAAAGCAAGATGGATGTTTTAAAAAACGTTGACCAGAATGTCAAAGAACTTTGTTACAGGGCGGCTTTAAGGAATTTTAAGGTTAATCCAGTAAAACGGGTTTTGTAGTTTTTAGTGAATCGACCTTTTAGGTGCGTTAAACAAGTCTGATAAACTCGGCGAGATTAACATGACAAGGGTCTTGTTAACCAGGGCACTAGCTAAGTTTACTCAAAAAAGGAATAAAATTATTTTTCGAGACATTTCAAAAATTGGAAAACTACGCAATTTAAGAAGGTAGATTGATTTTATATTATCAGAACACATTTAATAAAACTTAACGAGTGTTTTAAGTAGGGATAATGGTTTTCAGATTTTGGCTCAATGTGCAATATATGATCCTTAAACTTTAAATTTATTTAATGAGGGCGCTAAACTTTAGCCAAATGTGCAATAATTGAATATTTTCATATAGTTCAAGGACTAAATTGAACATGTACCACAAGTTCAACGATCGCATTGAATAAATTAAAACTTTAAAGAACACATTACACATCGGGTTAAAGTTTAAAGATCGCATTGAACAAAAATTTAAAGTTTAGAGATCATATCGCATGGCCAAAGTTCGGGACATGCTGCACTCTTACGACATTTTCCGGTGGAACCTCAACCTGAAATGGGGGTGGAAATGGAACAGGATCAAGTGGAGTACGACGTTGGTTGCTGATCCATGAAGGAATCAAGAGATAAAGAACAGAGAAAGCCCCCAAAAGGTGGAATTTTTATCCCCTGTTTCGGTTGGGCCGTTCGAATGCACCGTGGCCAAACGGTTGATCGCTCTCCCTTTCCCTCTTCTTCAGTCCAGTAGTGTCTTCAAGTTCATCCCCTCCCTCCCTGTATCTCTCTCTCTCTCTCTCTCTCTCTAAGCCTGCGATTTCGAAAGGGCACTGCAGAGTCACCGGCCACAACACAACCACGAGAATGCTGCAGCTGCGAGCGCTCGTCTTCAACCTCCCGCGAGCACGGCTTCCGTCCAGCCCCTTTCCGACACCCTTCGGCCCGTTCAACTCGTGCATGCAGAGGAGATGGCGAAAGCCGGTCGCCACCGCCCAGACTCGCTTGGAAGGCCGAACCCGAGACCCCAAGCTCGACAGGCTCGCGACCCGCCTCGCCACCCTCAAGACCGTCCTCAGCCTCCACGCCCTCATGTCCGCCCGCAGGAGAGGGCCCTTCGTCTCGCTCCAGCGCGTGTCTCGCTGGAGGGGCCTCGTCGGGCTCAACGTCGCCGTGGGGGCCTTCGTCCGCAGGCACCCCCACGTGTTCGAGGTATTTACCCACCCGCTTCGTAGGAACTTATGTTGCAGAATTAGGCGTGGAATGAAGGAGCTGGTTAAGGAAGAGGAGGGTGTTGTCAAACGTATGGAACTGGAGTGTGTGCAGAGAGTGAAGAAGCTGTTGATGATGTCGGTTAATGGGAGAGTTCATGTGCACGCATTGAGGTTGATTAGGAGGGAATTGGGTCTACCCGAGGAGTTCCGAGAGTCGATCCTTGTCAAGTACTCGCGGGATTTCAGGCTTGTTGACTTGGAGGTTGTGGAATTGGTGGAGAGGGATGAGGATTTGGGCGTGGTCGAGATTGAGAAGTGGAGAGAGAAGGAATATAGAGAGAAATGGTTGAGTGAGTTCGAAACTAGGTTTGCCTTTCCAATTAATTTCCCTACTGGTTTTAAGATCGAGGGAGGATTTAGACAGAAGATGAAGAATTGGCAGAGGCTTCCATATGTGAAGCCATACGAGAGGAAAGAAATCGTTAAAGTGCGTACCTGCGGTGGTGTAGAGCGATTTGAGAAGCGGGCTGTCGCGATTATTCACGAATTGTTGAGCTTAACTGTGGAGAAGATGGTGGAGGTGGAGAGATTAGCTCATTTCAGGAAGGACTTTGGGATGGAAGTTAACATGCGTGAATTACTTCTGAAACACCCAGGAATTTTCTATATATCTACTAAAGGGAGCTCACAGGTTGTCTTTCTCAGAGAAGCTTATAGCAAAGGGTGTTTGTTAGAGCCAAATCCCATCTATGCTGTTCACAGGAAAATGTTGGAGCTCCTTCTGTTAAGACGCCGGAACACTAAGGTATTATCAGTTATTGAGGAGAACAATTTGGTCTATACTGTAGATGAAGGGCATAAAAGAGAGGGAGATTGGGTAGTTCCCATATTAGAGAGTTTGGAAAATCACGGAGTTGAGAGATGATCTGATTGCCATCATTTACATCAAGAGATGATATTTCTGGACATGAAAATGAAGTGGACAGCTTGACGCATGTGGTAGAATGATGAAGTTCCACCGTCCATGGTTCAGACACGTGCTTTTACAAGAGAGAAGTTATTTAGTAAGTTAATTTTACTGGACATTAAGATGGTTGGGATTTACTCAGATGACGTTGAATTACGGGCTGAAGTAGTCATGCCGTGGTGAGTGCATTCTTCTAGAATAACATTTGCTCAAATATCTCGTAATTTAGATGCATCTCTGACATGCTTTCAAATCTTGTCACTCCTAAGTGCTTTTCCTTAAAAAATTACTAGTTCCACGATAAAACGTGGGCATCTTGCCCTGCCATTTCTCGATTGCCGCTGTGAAATTTTTAGGGTGTACTCTCTCCAGTAAATGTTTTCAGTATACATATTAAATCTTCCCATCCTGATGTGATCTCAATGCAATGGTCTCTGATGCACGCTCGCTTTTTGTATATGAGCAGCTCAATCTGTGCTCTCGTAGGCAGTAAAATCTTAGTTGGGTTTTGTTTGGTGATGGTCTAGTTTATGCTTTTTGTTTATCCTTTCCTAAACACTGATTTTCTTTTCTTTAAATTGTTCAGTTTGCTGTGATTTTATTTTGATGGCATTGTGTATTCCATTTTTCTCTAGTGGATTAACACTATCTGTTCATTGATTGAGAAACGAGTTCGCATTATTTAAGCCTGCTTCTCCATCACAGTTTCTCAGAGGACGATCTTGTCATGGAAAAGCTTGTGTTTTGTTCTGGAGGGGATACATGTGCTTACCGTTTGGTTACATGATCATAATATCATGCAGAAAACCCAATTTGCATTTCCTTATTCCTCTTTCTACTGAAACCTGAAGTTTCTTCCGGAAATGTATATACATCTCATTTTTTAAATTGAAAAATTGGTTTACAGTGATCTCCTTCTATTCTTGGGAATACAAAGTGAAGTAACCGGAAACAGGGAAGATGAGGTTCATATGTTGGATAACCAGATCAGGTCTATTCAGTTTAGTCTGCTGAAGAAAATGAGTTGTGTACACTCAAAGAAATGTTTTAGTGTGCAGAGAAAGCTGCATAAATAGCTACTGCTCATTAATTAAAGCAACATGCTTAGGTTTGTGTGCTTTTCTACCTTTGCTTCAAAATGGTAGTCTAGCATTTTGCTTTAAAATGGTAGTTGGAGCTTCAATTCGGGGATCCCATTTACTGGTTAATTCGCAATTGCCATGACTCATATTTCATCAAGCTATGAGGGTGCAGCACAGCAGTTTTTTATATTTAACTTTCGCTTATGTTAGATTTTCATTAGGATTACTTAGTTTAACCAATGAGGAAGCATGTATTTCAAGATTATTCTTTCTCAGAGTTACCTGATTTCCGTAATGATCATAGCTATCACTTCGATTTTCACTTTCCTATGTCTACTTACTGCAGATGTGAGTCTCCTGACAATGTAAACTTGTCCTAATAAAAAGTCAGGATGTCTGCTGTTGGACATGTATTGGAGATTTGACCCGCCAGGTAAACTGCATATGATTGTATTCATTGGCAAGAGTTGTTAGGCAAGTAATTATTGTCAGGATCGTTGGCTTATAAGAATTGGAATAGAGGATTTGGCTCAGTATCATGGAAATTATGCATTTTCAATGATATTCAAATGGGTAACTCGTATATTGTCAGCCTTGGAGCATTGTGAAATTACGGGTAGATTTTAAGGAGAGAGAAGTCTTTGCACAATGATGCTTATAAGGATATGTAGCACCCAATGGAAATGAATAAAAAGAATTGGTTGATGATTGTTTTTCAGTTTCGTCTGAACCCATGATGATGCCCTCGTTTTTTTTGCTTCGAAGTGCATAGCAAGGCTTTACAAGTGCCTTATCTTTTGGGTAGTGGAAGATCCTTATGGTTTCCTGATAGAAGACAAATGGTCAGTTGTTGACAAGAGTGCGTTTTTCTTGGGTACTTGGAAAGGTGCGCAATCATATAGAGTTTGAATATTAGCAGGTCTCTTAACTGCTGGTAGAGGACATTATCGTCCCTTATTGACCAACTCTTTGAAAACCAAACTAGACCGGCCAGTTCAGCTGGGTGCAGGAGCCTGTTATAGTACTGTTCTACCACGAAACTCACCCAGACATTGAACCAGTCAAAACCGGATGTTGGTCAAACTGGGTGAACTGGGAACTGGTTTGACTGGATCTGGGAGATATACTAATTAAGAAGACGGGTACGTATCAAGGGGGTTGTAGCCCTGACCTGTTTGATACTGCACAAGTGCTCAGCCAACTAAGTTGTGTACTTTTGTTCATTTACCAAAATTAAATAGTATTTTCTTGGGTCAAAAGATTAAATTGTTATTTAAACACTGCCTCTACGCCTTTTTGAGGAAGAGAATGTAAAATTGCCACAGAGGCAATTTGAACTCACGACCACAAGCTTCATGCCAAACATCCCTAATATCTTCAACTGGGGATAAGTCAGCGTTGAGCATAATATTTAGTATGAATTCCATGTTCTATAGTAATGAGTTATTTTTAGCAAACCAGATAATCGGTTGAACGTGCATGCAAGGACTCATTTGGTTTATTCTCCATTATGGTCTTAGAAACACTGCTATTGACTTAAAAGTATGGTGTTACGCCGAGCGTGGAAAGGTGATTCAGTTTCGCTCTAGATTAGCTGAATGGGTCACATAGCTTGGGGCGCTAAAGCAGAAAATGCGTGTTCAATTAAGATGTCTCGAGCATGTCTTTGGTCTGTAGTGTAAGATTTCTTTCTATCCATTTGGGAGTGTCCTAAGCTTCGAGTTGCGGAATTCCTACATTTCAATTTCTGATGTAGCCAATCCGATAGCTTTTTGGGATTCTAATTTTCACCTCATGTTGGTCTGTTTCAGTATTGTCTAACGTTCTTTTGAGCGGAAAATGTGACATTATCATCTCTGCTCCAGAGCATGCTTAGTTTGAGCTTCTAGCATGTAGGAATACAAAGACTGGCGACCTTTAGGAAAATTGCTGCTTATCTATGTGCCTTTGCCTCTTGGCGTGGTATCGAGGCATGAGAAGAACTGTTATTACCCGTTACTTGTTTTGTTTCACCACGCGCCCGTGAGAACTTGGTTACCGCAACAATGACCTTTGAGAAAATGAACACGCAGGTTCTTTACCATCAAACTCCAATTGTTCCCACGCAATGGCCTCGACTCGAGGTCAGTGAATCTCAGGAGTGCGCGAGCGCGGGAGTTTTGCAAGGAAAAATGAAGGCTCCGAAGGGGTTTCCATCCGTTATGTGCAGCTAGTAACGGTATGGCTAATCTGCTCAGCTTTATCTGCATCGCTATCGAATATGACATCGGACAAGAAACGAACACTGACTAAGCACTGCTACGCGTGGCCGAAACTCAAAGAGTCCGGAAATGTTGCGAACTCGACTCTATGGGTAATGTGACGGAAGAGAGGGTCCGGTTTTTTTTTACCGTGGGGTCTCGCGACTTCTTTTCTCCGGCCGGCCCGTGCGAAATGACGGAGACCGCAGTCTGATGAAAGGCTCCATATCGTGTTTAGATTCGGGCTTCATCTCGTGGTCCCGAATAATCTTTCTTAAGTTCGTGAACATTGCCCAGTTTTTTTGGTCTGCAGAATATGTCCGTGCGCGCGCACGGCACGCAAACACGAAAGCTCGTCCATCCTTTCGACAGCTGCAAACTTTGTCCCATACGGGGGCGCGCGATCTCAGCTGTCGATCTTTTTTGCCTCGTTGGCCATGGAGGGCGGCTGCTGCCGCTGATCTTTCGCGAAAAGCGCCCCCTCCCCCAAAAAAACAAAGAAAAAACACGACCGAAGAGTCGAGCTGAGGGCGAGTGCAGTGACGACATGCAATCGCCAGCACGCGGTCATGCGTGACGGCCCAAGGGAATCAACAACGTTGTGGGTGGCAACACGAAAGGACGAGGAGGGCCCCACCCCCTCCTTAAATGCCAGTCCGACGTGGACGGCCCCCGCCAAAACGTCAAAACGCCACGTCGTCACCCGACGACTTTGACTCTCCCCTCCCCCCTTCACCCCCACCCCTGCTGTTGCTGTTGCTGTGCGTGTAGGTCAACAACCTCCCTCCCCCGCTACCTCCCGCCCCCACTCATCATTACGAAAACTACGACCCCCGAAAGGAATCCCACGTCATCGGTGACGCCGCGCGGCCCCCACCGCCACCCCGCGCTCCGCCGCGTGGGGATGGCGATCCGACGGCGGAGGAGCGGGGGTGGGGGTGGGGGGGACAGGGCGGAGGAAGTCAGAGGCGGAATCATGTGTTGGGGGTGGCTGCGGTAGAGTAGGCGAGTCAAAGAGGAAAAGAACGAAGACTGGTACGATCAGAGGTACTGCCTCTCCCTGCTTTGCCCATCATCTTTGACCTTTCTTTTCTTCGCTTCTGCTCTTCCTCCTCCTTCCTCCCTTTGAATCGTTTGGCTAACTTGGGGTCGCACGTCTCCTTTCGGGTGGTGGGCGGGGGGTTGCTCTTTGACGTTGAACTGAACCCGAAATTGCTTGAGAGATGTGGTGGCAAGCGGATGGACAAAGGGTTGTGTTCCGCTTCTTCTTCTTCTTTTTTATCGGGGCTAGCGGAATTCGAGACTGTCCCGATCGAGTGCGTCGGAACGCGGTGTGTGTGGACGGCAGATGGATGGGTTAGAGTCGGAATTCGGATGGACCGCGATACGCGTGGACCATGTCGGACCTATTCAACCGGTGTTATTCCATTCTCGCGTACGAACGAGAAGATTACCTTACCGACCCTATCCGGACCCGTCCGACATCCCTTCCTGAGTGACCCTACTGCTAGTGTGAAGAAAGATTTTCGCAAAGGTTCCTAACAAGCAACACTCGCATCAACGAGCAGAAAATTTCAAGTTCGTCCATTTTATAAGCGGCGTGGTGGGGGGTGTGATTAGAGATTCCCAACCCCTGGAAAACCATTTCGTGATGTCACAAGATCAAATGTTTTTCGTATTTATTCTATTACAAACATCGAAAATAAATAAACTATTACATATTTCGAGACTAGCCATTCGAGCGTCGCCAGAAACATAAAAACCGCCTGAAGACTGATCAGCCAGTTCCGACCTGGATCGGTTTTTCAGACCATTGATTTTTTTCATTCGCACCCGTGATAACAAAGATCTTTTTTCATCGCCGGCCAGTCCGATCCGATCCGATCCAAATAGGAATTTTTAAACCTTCGATTCTCGCATCATACCACACGTGCCGACCATCACATAAAATACCCTGCCCCTCTAGCTCCACCAACCCTTTCAATTCAGAGCTTCTATAAACGTTTTTCCCAATACCCTTCATTTATTTATTTATTTATTTATTATTTTTTTGATCAATACCCTTTAATTTAAGTCCTTAAGTTTTATACATTAAATTTATAAATCTAATTATGTGGACTTAGCTTTCCTCGCTGACGTCATAGCGCCTGTCATCTTGTAGACAGAAAAGAGGATTATTCCTTGTTTCCAGAACGGTGTGATTTGGACAGCCACGCGATGTGTTTGTCCAAAACAGCGACGTCGTTTTGTCCTGATCCTACCTTTTGTGTAATCCCCTTTGCCTTGTTCCAGAAGGCTGGGTTAGCCTCCATCTAATTTAATTAATTAACCAGTTGCAAAGATCCAAGCACACCAAAGTCACAAGATATTTAACTTTTGGTAGTTGTCATCTCCGCTGTAATGCGGGGAAAAAAGAAATCGCTAAAAGCTCGAAATTATATCGATCGCGACGCATTCACCGTGAACTCTCTTTTGTGACGTCAAAAACCCTAGACCATGCTCACCGTAACACATTTGCTCCGAACTATTTTCTTGTGGCACAAAAAACTCCAAAGTCATTCACCCTTCGTCAAGGTTCCGTCTGATGATTTTTCAACAGAAAACATCATTTTCCTCTTCTTTTTTAAGCCACGTGAGAGCCATGTCAACACCGCTTGCTATCCGGTGTTCATGTAGGCAGATTTTTAACGATGCTCATCGGTGAAATCTTGACGAAGGATAAACGCGTCACACGGATACGAATTCGGGATTTTTTGTGTCACGGAAAAAAAGTTTAAGGTAAATATGTCACGATGAGCAAAATTTGGGATTTTTTTTATGGCTTTTTGCTCTATAAAAAACTTTTTATTAAATTTACCCCCCTGCCCACACGAAAACACAAACATCTTTTTCAACGACCAGTATCAGATTAACGATAATCATGTTACTGCATGTGTTACATGGGTATGTATTTTTTCGACATTGTCTTTTTGTTTTCGTTATTTCTCATCATCCGGGGTCTTGGGAAGCTTGGCTAACCCCACCTTCCTTTCAATCTAATGAAACGAAGTTCCAGATACAATTAGAACAACAAATTCGATCGTGCAAAGGAATATCATTTCGTCTCCTTTTTTTCTCAACTAATTACAAAGAGAGAGAGAGAGAGAGAGATTTCTTGCGAAGATGAATAAGGATAATTTTAAATTAATTAACTAATTAAGTAGCTAGAAAAGAAGGAAAAAGGAAGGGAAAAAGAGTCGCGCTCGAGCGCGACACCGCCACCACCTCGCGCCAATGTCGCAAGACGTTTTGCGTGATTGATTCGACAAAGTCGCGTCAACTCATGTGATGCGTCAAATGGCTAAACGAATTAATTAATCGATCCCACTTTAGGCCATTCTTTATTCCCCCAAACTATAGATTAAGATACTCATTTAACTTAGGCGTGGCCACGGTCTTCACGTCCTAACCTTTCCTTGATTTTTTTTATTTTTAATTTTTTATAATTGGATGTAATATCCCGATCGTCGTCTGCTTTTTTTACTAGAACAAAAAAGGGTGGTCGAAGAGATGTTATCGAGACCTAAGTCAATTATATTTTAGCCTAAGGCGTCGCCCACCTAACGCATTTCGCGCTCGAGATATTATTATCTTACGCAGCTTTTTGACTCGACTAGATTAACTCTAATGAGTCGAGCAAAATAATTTGAGTTGTTTTTAAATCTTTTGATACCGGCACGAAAGCTTAGTACGATCGATCTGGAGACGATCGGAAAGAAATACCGAGTAAAACCGTTTCTCGCATCTGCCTACGAGGGTTTTTCGCGGGTCGAACTCTTAGGTTTCTTTCGATCGGGGCGGCACCGGCGAAGCTTCGATAGCAATAGATTCGTCTGGCCGAGGTCTTTTTGGCACCGCTACTGCCATGCACCTAAATATCATAAGACAAAAGGACAAAAGCCACCAAAAATCCTAAATTATGTTCACTGTGATACATTTTTCCTTATTTTTTTCCATGACACCAAAAATCTCAAACTTGTAAGCCCTGATAAATTTACCTTCAATCAAAGTTCTATCAGTGAAAACCGTTAAAAATGTGTGTTAACATGAAGTGAGATAAAAACGACGTTCGTTTGGCTGAAAAATAATTTTACGGAACATTGATGGAGGATAAACGCGTTACATACGTACAAGTCTGGGGTTTTTTATATCGCAAGAAAAAGTTCAAGCTAATCGTATCACGATGGACATAATTTAAAGTTCGGGCTAAATATATTATAGCGAACATAATTTACAAATTTCTGGGACGTTTTCGCAAGTCGAAAAAACGAGGGAGAGATATTTATCATCATCATCTTCGCCAGAAGGGTGCGTTGCTTAATGACAACAACCCAAGACGTATCGATCTCTAATTAAACCACGATTTTTGAACTTTTTTAAAAACCTGTCCAATCTGTCTTATGGGGGTTGATGGGTACGTCTGCGTTTGCATGTGAGGGAGTTTATCTAGGTGGCCGAGCTATTTCCACATATGACAAGAAATTGATAGTCTAAGACACTAAGGTCCAATTCTGCGAATATTATTATTATTATTATTATTATTATTATTATTATCATTACCAAGATGGGATTTGCCCCCTTTTTAATCTAATATTGCGTGTCGTTTTAAAACTATTTTTTCGATGGGAGCGTTCGGTAAGCAACCTCACAAATTTGGGGCATTCCTTGTCACCGTTTTATGCAATCATTTCATTGTTTGAAAAAGAAATATCTGATCGTTTCATTGGAGAGCCGATTACATCGAGTTCCACGAATCATAGTACAGCAATTTCGATCCGGGTTCTGTTAGTTTTCGCGAAAGAATGAATGGTTTGAAAAAAATTTTAACCTAAAAACGGTCGCTTGTATCGGTTGAAATAATTGGTCGACGAAAAATGTTTTCATTAACGATGACAACATTTTTGGTTCGTCCATTTTTGTACGCGATACAGACGATCGTTTTTAGGAAAATATTTTCTAAATTACATTCATTTTTCGCAAGACAAATGGAGTCAAAAATTAAATTTATTTCACGAATTCATAAGCAGAATAGTTCATAAGCATGGAAAACGAGATCTCTTCAAATTAACGAATGGTTCGGAATAATTTTGACATTCGAAGTTTCTTTCTCAACTACGAATACGAGAGGGGAAAGTACTCCGACCCTTCACCTCCGGATCTCACACGGGAAAGATTGAGGAAATCGCTCAATCATATGTTTCGTGCCACGTCTTGCAAACAACAAAGGGCATTAAAAAGACTTTCAAAAGAAGGAGATTATGCTGCACGACGAATCGAAATCATGTGAAGCATTCGAAGTTTGTCATTTTAAGTAGATGTCCAGAGGAATCACAACAAAAAGGTCGAGCGACTTTGAATCGCACGAACCGAAAAACCGGTTCAATTATGTGTTTCGAGGTTTTCTCATACCGAACATTTTTCGACGGTACCAATGACTCGACCTAAGAGCAACCTTCCCTCGTGTGCCCCACGAAATAACCCTAATTTGGGGACACAATTTTGCACGGTCGGGCCGGGTCGGATTAGGTTTTTTTTTTTCACATTTTACACGAAACCATGACTCCGAGGGCTGCCCGTTGCCACGCGGACGCCCAACGCACCTAACTGTACGGGCTTCTAGATCTTCTCCTGTCCACGTTATCATTCCGTCCGATGCAAGCCACCATACCATTTTGCACTCCTCTTCCCCAATAACTCTGACAAAAATTTCCATTGCCCCAAAAGACACCACCCCCGCTTTCATCCATCGGAGAGCCGGTTCTTCTTCTTCTCCGGCGACGACCCTTTCGCCGTCGGAGAACCGGTTCTTCTCCGACGGCCCCTAGTAAAAACCCACCCCCCCACGGATCGAACCGGGTCGCGAGGAGGTTTCGCGGGTGTTCTCCCCGCCCCCTTCTCCCCGTTTCGCGTGAAATTTCATAACTTCGCGTGCAAAAATTGGAGTAAATCAAGGCTCGAATTCGAAGAAATGAAGAGGACTATGATATACCATAACTATCAACAGATCCGACCCGACCCGACCCGATCATGCCACCCCGATGTCTGCTGCAACAATTACAAGAACTCCGACGTACGATCCCATACGCAGCATCACAAAACAGGGGGCAATTTGGAAAAAAGAAAGAAAGAAGGAAGGATGACAAAAATAAAATATAAAAAAAAAAAAGGAGGGAGCTAAAATTGATCCGTCACATGGCGCTAGCGCTCCACGACTCTAGAGTGGGAAACCCGGCGAACGACCCGAAATCGTAGCCGCCGGAGACGGAGCCGCCGCCGCCGCCGCAGGCCACGTCCGCCGCCTCCAAAAATGACAGGGGTCCCGGCGCCTCGCCGCGCGCGGCGGACATCTCCTGCTGCTGCTGCTGCTGCTGGTTGTGGTGGCCCGCGGCGTGGTGGTCCAGCAAGAACGCCGACGTGTCGAGGGTCGGCAAGCACCCGCTCGCGGCGGCGGCGGCGACCAGGCGGGCCCCGCCGAGCCTCTGCGGCTCCGGCTTGAGGATCGGGGCCGACACCTGGAGCCCCGCGCCGACGAACCTGGCGCCGGTCACCTGCTGCACCATCTGGCGGAAGTTGGCCGGGTCGGCGTTTATGTAGGTGGTCTGGGACCGCTTCGAGGCGCGCGACTTCCGCTTCGAGACCTTCCCCGACGCGCCGGGGACGGAGGCCCGCTGCCGCTGCTTCGACGCCGCGGCCTCCTGGTCTGAGGACCCCCAGCTGGGAGCGGCGGCGGCGGCGGCGGGGGTAGAAGGGGCGGGCTCGGGGAGGTGTTTGAGGAAGGGGGAGACGACGTCCGGGGTGAGGGTGTCGGAGGAGTTGTTGGAGTTGTTGGAGGTGGTGGCCGTGGCGGTGGCGGCGGAGGAGGAGATGGATTTCTGGAGGGCTTTGGTGAGGGTCTCGGTGTCGCGGGAGTAGGCTTCGGTGAACCAGGGGTCGATGAAGCTGGGGCGAGAGAAGATCCACGTCGGGTCAACGCTCGCCATGTGGTCGGACGACGCCATTGATGGGGCTACCCTCGAATCGCGCTCGCGCTCTCTCTCTCTCTCTCTCTCTCTCTCACCCTCTCTTCTCCCTGCGTGTCGATGGAAGATCACCAGGAGGAGCTTCTCGAAAGGGGTCCGCCGGACGTTAGAAATGGGTCCTCCGCTGCAGCAGCAGCAGCAGCAGCGGCTGGTGAGACTGAGGGGGAGGGGGAGAGGGAGAGGGAGTCAAGAGGGGGGTCAAAGCTGAAGCGGAGGACACTCCAGTACGGATACGTCCGTCGCCGCGAAGAAGAAGACGAAGACGAAGACGGAGGAAGAGGAGGAGGAGAAGGAGGAGGAGAAATGGCGAGGGATCAAAGGCGCAGAGAAAGGAGGGAGGGAGGGAGGATGAAATGGGAGAGAAGGGAGGATGGGTGGGTTGAGATTTATATAGGGCGGTGTCTCATTCAGTCAGTCAGTCAGTCAGCCAGTCGTGTTGAGAGAGAGAGAGAGCGAGAGAGAGAGAGGATGAGAGAGAAACCGCGTCGTTCGGGGGGGACACGCGTCAGCTTTCCGTACGGAAATCGATAACACCCGATGGCAAACCTCACCTCCCCCTTTAACCATGGTTTGTATCTAACCTCACCTCCTCAGCTCTTGTTCGTATATGTGCGATGCTCGACTTAACACACATCACATAGATTCTTTTTTTCTCCCCCCCAAAGGCAACATAGATTTTTTTTTTTCTCATCAAAAAAAAAAAAAAAAAACGTTCTAATCCGTCGTCTTGTTTCGAAAATTCCACTCGACGAAGCCGCTTTGATTGCAGCACATCGCAACATTATCTCCTCCCCGAAAAATTCGGCCGGGCCAGTGTGAACAGCAATCTCGCGATGCCTTTCCCTGAGACGTGTTCGATACGTTTCGAGAGGGAGACGAGAACATTAATCCTACGATATGCTAATAAGCAGGTCTTTAATAATATACAGGGGATCGTCCTGCTAAGTTTTCCTCTCGAATGTAGCTATTATTGAAGCATCGGAGAAAGCGAATTTTGGTTTTGGAAAATCCCTATTACAAAAACGGGGAACAAAATCTAGGGATCGAAATAAAGGCTGCACTTCTGTAGTTAATACAGGATTAGCGCGGTTAATTGGGAATTAAGCAAATTAAGGAAGAGGCGAAGGCGAGCGACTCAGTGAGTGAGTGACCCGAGCGAGGCGGCTCGCGAGCTCCGACAGGCGCCGAAGCCGCGTCGACGGCGCTCAGCTTTAACGCGTAATCTCGCCTCTCCCCAGATGCTTTTCTTTTCGCTCCCCGATCCTCTCCCATCCTATTTCTTTTATTATCTTCCCCGTTTTTTTTTTTTTTCTCTCGCTACTTATTTCGTAATATTTTTTTTAATTAATTCCATTTCTTTCTCTCTTTATTGCGCCATTGATTTTCGCGCCGTGGGAGACCATTTTCCCGTCAAACCCACACGCACAGCTCAGTGGAACTGCCGCAAGGAAGAGCGGAAAAAATCTACTAAAAGATTTATATAGAAAAAGGAAAGAAAGAATAAATAAGCTAAAAAAATTTTAAAAAAAAATTAAGAGAAAAGAAAGAGAGAGCTTAATTTCAACATAAAAAGCAGCGCCGGATTATTCATTCGTTTTCCTAATTTGAAATCTTAGGTTTTGGAGAGTAAAATAATGAGTACGGACTAGCGGTGCCATTTTGTTTTTTACAAAATCATGATAACATAGACTATTGCGGAGCCAAACGATGGATTTGCAAATCGCAGCAAAAATCTTTTAATTATTATCGAGCGCCGCCGAAACGCTGGTCGACGAAATTCTACGCGCAAACAAGCTTTTTTTTCGCTAACTTGTCTTCAGTCGTCGAATCGAGTGGCTAGGGTCGCCGGGCAAAGCGGGAACACTGCTCGGTATAGCTCCTATCGCCCGATCGTGCCTATTTCGAGCGAGACCGGTCTATCAAAATTCAAGACCCATGACGTGTAACAATGCTCCTAAATACCTTGTGAAGTAGGAGAAAAAATTTTCAGACCAAAAAAAAAGAGCAGGAGAAAAAATTCGATATATCAATTGGCATGCGCTCTTTAATTAATTTCTTCAGTGCAATACTGTTACACCATGATATCCTTCTTCTTTTTTATGACTTCACGATGCTCTGCAGTAAAAATAATATCACCTTATTCTTACAATGTGCCATGAATTTGTCGTGCCATTGTTATGAAAAATACGATGAGACGAGAGTCAAATCCAAAGTTTCATGTCTCATAAGAGTTGCAGCTTATAAAACATAATAAATAAGGAAAGTCCCGTTTGTTTCGTAGGAAATGAACGATTTGAAAAAGGTTTTTCATAAAAATAAAATCGCATGTATCGTTCAAAATAATTAATCAAAGAAAAGGTTTTGCAGAGAGCGGTACTCCCAGCAGCATGGACAGTGACGGATTTCAAAAATTAAATTTGAGACGTTAAGATCAAAGCGATTGACGAATATTTTCAGTCAAACGCTGCGGTTTAAATTATATTATTATTCTTGACCCCCCAAAAAAATTCACATTATTATTATTATTATTATTATTATAATTATTACTTTTGGGGGGGGGGGGGGGCAGAGGAGGAGATCGATAGCAATCTTGTAACTTGTGGCGCTTTTTAAAGCCGAAATTTTTTTACATAAAACGACAATCCATGCAAAGCCGAAGGTGGGGCCCAAAGGGGAGCTTTGAAAGCGCGTGGGTCCCACCGCCCCTCCCCTTCCCCTGCATTGATCTCGAGGAATCTCAGTTTTCCCTTCTTCTTCTTCTTTCTTTTTTTTTTTTTTTGTTTCGTAATTTTTCGCTTTTTCAATATAATATATATCAATATCCCCCCGTCATCTTCACCGGTGCATACGTCATATATTCCGAACCTCCGTCATTGGGTTGGATACGTAGCGACGGAGTTAGGGCCGGGAATGGACCGGGGATCGTGATGGGATGAAGCCGACCCCCTCTTGAAATGGACGGTTCGATTTGAGATTTTTTGGAATGGGACTCGGAGGATCAGGCTCTTTTTTCTTGCCTCGATTGAGGTTTAGTGCCGTAATTTCTAGGGTTAACATCACGAGAAACCCCAAATCAGTATATCCGTGATTAAATTTACTCCCAAACTAATTTTTTTGGTCGCTAAAAACCCCAAACATATTTACCCTCCGTTAGCTTCCGTCAATTTTACCGTAAAATTATTGATCCGGATGACGCCTGACAATAACTCAATTGACATGGCAATCCACGTGAAAATCCATATCGGTTTTGAGTAAATTTGCCGCGAATGTACCGGTTTTGGGGTCTTTGGTGATCAAAAAATTAATTTTGGGGTAAATTTATCACAGGTGTACCAGTTTGAGACTTTTCGTGATATTGATCCTAATTTTTATTTTAATTTACAAGTTAATAATGTCAATCAAAGGTGCTAAAAAGCCTATCTATTACAGCTTTGTCTAAGTAATACTGAAAGATTAGGAAACAATATACGATGCCGCGCGTTGATATTCGTACATTTTACAGTATTTCGAGTATATCGAATATTGCCTGTAGCCTTTGATGATATTTTGGTTAATAGGCGTCGCATGTTATAAATGAGTGCCTTAAGACACTTGTCAATTTTACCTAACGAAAAAAGTGCATAACACATTAAAATGATGTTTTGAAAACGATAAAGTTTCATTTATGCGAGTGTTTAATTAGCGTTTTCTTTGTGTACTTGTTAACAGAATCGATTGCCTTTATGTCGGAATCCCGAAGGAGAATGGAAACTCTCTCCTCGAAGATGGTTATCCATCCCAGAAAGGAGAGACAAAGTTTGTCCTTCCAGGCCAGCCCAACGCGCTTTTCTAGTCCGAACCTATTAACAAAGCAAACAAAAAAGGGAGCGTTTCGAATGATACGGGACGAAAGAACGCGTGAAAAAAACAAGCTCTTCGTGATACCATTCTTCGCGCAATTGTGCGGTGTGTAAGCCCTAAGGATGGCCAAGCAAGAGCAAGAAAAAGAGTTATAGTGGTCCTTTGCATTTGAGAATGAATGGTCACACTCCTCATGTAGGAAGCTAGAACTAGAACCCCAAGCACTACACCGGAGGAGGAAAGGCTTGAGAAGCTAGGCAGCAGCCATTTGGTTTAGAGGGTCTATATCCTTGGAGTAGATATATTAGCTTTATTTATAGATATATTATTGGTTTTTTTGCGAAATATTTTCCACCGACTAACAAAAGTGCATGCGCGTTGCTTGCGAAAAACAAAATATACGAGTGCTCGAATTAAAAAGAGAAAAAATTGGAGTTTTGATCTATTTGCGTAAACATAAATTCCTCGAAATAAGAAAGATATTTCAGCCAATTGAAAAGATTGTACGGGAGATTCAACAAATCGTGGTTAATATGTTATAGATTCATTTTATATTTTGACTTGCAATTTTTCCCTTCTTAATAAATATTGACATATAACAATGCACTTAACAGATGGGTTTTCCATGAAGTTTTTTAAATAAAATGTTTAAGGTTAAAATCTCCAATAAATTTATTTTGTAACATAGCGAGATCTGAAGTCGAACTGTACTATGATAGTTTTCTGATTTTTAAGAGGACGTGTCAAATTTTTTGTTTGTGGAGGGGGTTTCGATGTGATCTAATTATCATGACGCTCACCTACAATTTTATCTCATCATGTGTTAAATTGTTTTTGCCGATCGTGCCTTGTGTTTCCTATGGATCACTCCAAGCGTTCAAATTTACGGACGCTTCTACAGCTCACGACACCCTTCCGTACAACATCAAACGTCGATCGTGAGTTGTCGCTTATCGATTGATATAAGTCGCCGAATAATTTTAACAACGTAAAGATTGATGTACTACTGATCATGAATTTTTCTAAGCATGTGTCGAAGTGTGGTCTAGAATGGGGGAGAGCTAGTGTAGGCAAAATTAGGGTTTGGTACAATCGCAGGTAGATGCCCTCTCGTCCACCCTAACTCTTTCGACCTCGTCACCCTACCCACCTCAAATTATACGTAGTTGTGTATATAAATACACAAATCATCTTTAGACTAGGACCCGTAGCTAAGCAAAGGCGGCCAAAAGCAACTGCAAACTAATCACCCCACTTGATCTCTACTGAAACGGCCTCTTATAGCAAGTTTACAAGACGGTGCGACGAATTAGAAGCGATCGTTTCGATTAGAGAGAGCCCATTAGAGCACGCAACGAAAATC